CCTCAGACATCATGAACACCCTTCTTAGCAAAAGGGACACCACAAGTATTTTCAGAAATTATTTTTATGAGGTTTGAGTTTTGGAACTTTGATTTTCTTCCAGAGAATTTTTCAGGCCGATGTTGTCCTCTGTTCAACATGTGAATTGCTTCAGGTGATGCTTTATATTATGAGATGGGCGTTTAGGATAATTGTCCACTAGGATTTGAAAAATACTGATATGTTTTTTGAGAGCCAGTCCTATAGACTTAAAAATCTAAATATTTGTTTGGTGTTGGTACAAATTGTGACCCTGGAAGACTTAAGGCAGTGGACTGAGTTAATGGTGGGGTGATACCCTGACCCTTGTCAGTATTGCTGGTCCTTCAGTGCGCAGGAGCTTCTTAACTTCATTGTAGGTGGGAGCCTACTTCAATATAGTTTTTCAACATATTCTTTGCTGTACATTTAGTTTTAATTTAGTGCCAATGGGCTTGAGATTCTCGGTGACATGATCTGCTATACTGGCTGAAACCTCTGGGCAGTGTGCTGTGGTGTTAACCTGGAACAGTGGAGTCTGAAACATTTTGGGAATCGAGTCCCAGGCTGCATGCTTGCTTGAAGCTGTAGCTTAGGTCATGTGTGTACTCTCCGTGTGAAAAGCCTGATGCACCCCCAAAAACGGTTTTAGCATTACTTTGAGTAGAGGAACACAATGCCCAGACAGCAGAGAAATGTCTGGCAGTGCGAGACACATGACAAAGATCTGGATCACGAATGATAGCTCACCAAGGACATTTTCTTGGAGAATCTTGCTCAGAAGATGATGTAGGAGACTTAGAACATAGGGGTGTAGATGTAAGGCTTCATGTAAAGGTTTCTTTCAAAACCACAGTAAAGGCTGCCGTCTCATCGCTGTTGTAAGAGGCAGCTTTGCTTTCTCTTCAGTAGTTCAGGAAAAGCATCAATGCAGAGCATCTGTGAGAAGAACTGAGTGCCTGTGAGGACACTGCTGTTGGAGTTTATGGAATGAGAAGTAGAAAATAGTGTGGGCAGTTTAGAAATGGTTGTGTGCCACCTGCAAAACCGGGAGGAGACAGTCATCTGAATTCAGTGGTCATTGCTCTGCCTGAAATTTCTGATTTGTGGAAGATAAGAAGATAATAAAGCGTGTCAGTAGCTTCCTATGATAACTAGTGTGAAACTGCTCTGGTAGCATAGACACTGGGCTTGTGGTATAATGATTAGCTGGGCAAAATACAAACTCAGGATTTGTTCCTTTTAGGTATGTTAGTACCTGAAGAAAAAAGAAAATGCAAAGTCGTAGCTGTGAGACTTTTCTTCAGATGGGTTACTCTTATCTGTTTCAAATAGCTCTTTTCATCAGAAAATGGGCAGTGAGAATGTCTGGAAATATTTTAAAATTTAATTTAGGATTTACTACAACTAATGCAATCTGTGAACGGGTTCAAACACTATTCCATGTGTTTGCATTGTGTATTTCCAATTTTAAAAGGAATATAATTTTGTAGTTGCTCTGCTTATGCTAACTCTACCTGTATCAAATGCCAGGGCTTAATGAAGCATTTAAGGTTTACTCTGTTTGACTTCTGAATGAATTCAAACAATTTTTCATGTACTTGCATTTTATATTTTGTAAAAAGATGGATTTCAAATACTTACTTGTGTAGGACTGACATCTCTCTGTGTTAGTTCAAATACCAGTATTCATGGAATCTCAATGTAATTTGTAAAGAGCATGCAAGGAACTTAGGAAATGAAATGATGTTTGAATTCAGTCTTGACAGTGGGCATTTTATTACCATTAATTTTTTAATGCAGCTTCAGGGTTTGATGAAGATTCCCATCCCTAGGGACTGCAATCTCCATTCCTCTTGAAGGGAACCTTCAAGACCCCCTGAGTGCCCATTCTGCAACCTGTGTGGCCTCCTATAACTGTGGAAATAACCTGAAGGAAAAGTCCATGTTGTGAGAGAAAAGAGAGTGTAGTTTTGGTGTTCTCTTGCTGTGGAGTTCAGTAACAGTCTTGAATCTCAATGTGTTTCTGCAAATCCTGGATATGTAGTGCTCCTTGTCTCTTATCAGACCCTGGCCAAGTTTTGATAGATTGATGCACCATCAAACCAAAGGTCCTTCTATCAGCAGGAGAGAAGGGCAGCAAAGGCCTGGTTTGCTGACATTGTTTGTCTTTAGAGCAAATATGAAGTGATTCCTCCCCCGCTATAGGTGAAACCTTCTTGCAGGTAGCTCTTAGGTACTTTAACTAAAAAGTGACGGAATTTAAAGGAAGAAAAAATTATTGATCTAATACTTGTTAATGTGGAATATGTTGGCATCCTTCCCTGAGAAATTTGTATTAATTCAAAATAAAAGTACTCTGAATTGAGTATATAAAATGTCTTACTCTTAATTTTAACTGTAGTCAGTGCGTTAAGAAACTCTCCTGAGATATTTAGGAAACAGGTCACATCCTTTCTTAGTCAAAACTGATAGGCTGAATTCTGTGATATTTTATAGTGATGCAGAGCTTGTTAGGAACTGGGCTGGGATGGTGATGTTTTTAAGCTTACAGCTTTGAGGGATGTTGAAGAGCATTTTTGTTGAGTAGACGTGGTTTTTATTCTGTTGCTGTGCATGTTTTGTTGTCAGTTCTCAGACTCGTTTAAGTTGTGCCGCTGGTACAAAGATTGTTTTCGGTAACTAAGGCTGCAGGAGATTAGTAGTGTTTTAGCAGCAGTTAAAACTACTGGTAGTGTCACTGAGAGCTCTCCAGGCAGCAGGGAATGCAGATTTTCATGTTATCTCTTGGAGGTCTGGAAGAGGTGGAGAGCTTCATGTGCTGGAGGACAGTTACAGGTGCAGTTGCATAGAGGAATGTCTTATTTCCAGGATTTTCATTTTGATTTGCAACTGAGGTGCATTTTAGCTGCCCAGTTTCAGCAGTTTGCTCATGTCAGCTGCCTCTAAGTAATAGTTTTCCATAGGACTTCTGTTTCCATTCTCATTTAAAAGGAGTAAGTGTAAGACAGAAAGCAAATCTGCTTCATGGTAAGTGTGTGATTGAGAAGAGAGGACATTCTTGTCAGAAAGGATCAGTTTTTATGTCATTCAGTGCTGTGCCAGGTACACTGATGGACCCTCATGTGGTTGTCTCCCTGCTGTGGGCCAATCCAGGTCGCCTGCAGGGTACCCTTTGACTTCTAAGGAGCGAGTGAAAAGTAACAAGGCACGCTTTCCGCCCAGACTTTCAATGCCTTCCTCTCTCTTTTGACTGCATGAAACTTCTCTGTCTCCAAAGGATGAATCCATCCATTGAAATTCACCATCTCTCCCTTTCCTGGAGAGAGAAAGGGAAGCAAGGTGGATGTGGTTGAATGGAATGAGTCACCTCAAACAATAAAGCAGCTCTGGAAAGAGACAGACTGCTCATATTTTGGGATTTAGTTGCATTAAGTACAAATGTGATTAAGGCTTAGGTAAACTGCATCCCACTCTAATAGAGAACACCCACTTTTTAGAGGGGCTGTGAGTTTTTCTATTTCTAGATATATTTCCTGTGGAGGAGTGAACAGGAGGGCATAATTAAACAAAGCAAAAGGAAAGTGCTTGCGGAAATATACTTGGCATTACATGCTTTGTCTATATTTTTTAGTGTTGTTTTCCTGAGAATCCAACATGTATTTGGTTACCAGCTTTTTGCTGAACTTCAACCACATCTGAAAGAGATTTAAATAGCATTTAAAGCTATTAAGTACTTACAGTCTTTGATTAAAGCAGTTGCTGAATATTGGAGATGTACACAACCAATTCCTGCACTGTAGCAAAAATTGCTGTAAAATCTCAAGGCTGCTGGACCCTGCTCAGTGTGCCATGGACCCTAAGTTTCCCTGTTAATGTGTAGCTGGGAACCAGCTGCACAACCCATTGCAACTTGCTGTGTCCCAGGGATTAACCAAAGTGGAAGAGGAACTACAGGACCCTTGAAGTACTCTGGTGGGGCACGGTGAAGAACCCAGTTGTTGCCTCGGTAGTGGTTGAAGATAGGGAGCACAGGATGCACATTCTTGGGAAACCAGGCTTTATTGGTTCTGCTTGGCTTTCTTCTTTGCTCTTCTAATTGTATTGTAAAACAGCTTTTCATTTTTTATTCTTTTACATTTGCAAGTCTCGTGAATAAATCACGTATATTTAAACAGCTGACCTCCTACAGAAAGGTGAAGATAGCTAGTGCTCTGATGCTTAATGAACACAAATACATGTTACTTTGTTGTATGGAGCTCTGCGCAGTCCAAGGCTCGAAGAAAGCTGAGCTGCACATATAGATGGGAATGAAGAATTACCTTGAAAAGAATGTTGACACTGGGTGACCAGAGAGGTGCTTGCCATAATTTTAGAAACTTGATGTTTCATTTGTTCGAAACCTGAACAGCTCAGAACTGTAACAGCAGTCTGCTGGCTTTTGTAGGCTTCAAGAAATATTTTGCATGGAGTTCATGTTCTCTAAAGCTTAAGACATGACAATTGTATTTCCAGCACTGTAATTGAGATAAAAATCATAGTTTAAAGAAAAAACAGGGAAGAATTTATTTCATTAAGATTTTCTCACATGGATTAATTAAGAAAGATTTAGCAAGCTTTTAAGATTCTGACCTTCTTGTTATGCTCTTAAATTGGCTTTCCTAGTTGTTCATAGAAAGTGTACTAAATTAGTATAGTTGAGCAATTTGAGTCTCTACTTACCCAAGGTTTTGGTAATGATTTTTCATGCAGATCAGAACATGTGAAAAATCCTGTAGCTGCTATCTGTTCTCTCCCCTGTGGTGGTAGTTGGGTTTGGGGTTTGTTTTGAGGGTTTTTTTAGTTCTTGTTTAAAGATGTGGAACGGAACTATTGGTTCAGAAATTCCCCTTACGTGTGCACATACGCATATGTAAGATACCATGTTCAGTCTATTTCTGTATTTGTAGGATTTGGGGTTTATTTTCTTAATTTCTTTCTAGCGGATATAGCTCAGAGATACAGAATAAGCAAATATCCAACTCTGAAACTCTTCCGTAACGGAATGATGATGAAGAGAGAGTACAGGGGCCAGAGATCTGTGACAGCAATAGCAGATTATATCAGGCAGCAGAAGAGTAACCCTATTCGCGAGGTCCAGGATTTGGAAGAAATTAATTCTCTTGATGTAAGTCTTTCCATTTTATTCTTTCTAAATGTGCATTTTTTTAAACATTGAACTGAGGAAACAGAATTTATTTGAAGTTCTTATTTATTTCTGTTTTTTTAATATTCAAAAATGTTCTGAGTGCTTTTTAAAAACTGAGTAGAAAACTGAATCGCATCCAGTATTGCAAATTATTCCAATATAATAACTTTCAACTGCATTCATTTTGTTACAGTAACTACCACTACTAAATTACTATTTTACTTCCAATAACTTGAAAAGAATCATGCATTGTATTTGACAAGATACTTCTAATATTCCTTACTGGAAAATTATTCATAAGAATGCTTCTCAGTACTGAAAAGGCAGCAAAGAAATAACTTGTGCACAGCTATTGACTGCTGAATGAATGGCACCTCTGTCTGGGGAGTAATGATAGTTTTTGATAATTTGAGCTAAGTTACAATTTAACCTTTGTTTTTACAGCGCAGCAGAAGAAATATTGTTGGCTACTTTGAGCAAAAGGACTCTGACAATTACAGAACCTTTGAAAGAGTGGCGAATATTTTGCATGATGATTGTGTATTCGTGTCTGCTTTTGGGTAAGTTTCAGAATTTGTTGATTGCATGACTTCGTTATTTAAATCATGTTAATGACTTGTATATCATTTATTGAATGGACTTCTTTAAGACTTTCAGCATTAACTGAAGAGACTAGGCCTTACCAGATGAAAACACTGAGAGAAGGATAGGAGGAAAGGGAAGAGAGATCCTTCTATTCTTAATGTTTGCTGTGAAATCCAACTTTGATTTTTGCCTCCTTTTCTTTTTTTTTTTTCTTCCATTTCTTGTCAGTGTAGTTTAAACGCAACTGGGAGAGGGAGTAGGAGGGATGCTAGACAGCTGTGTCCTTAAAACCTGCTGCTTTGGAGGTAGAGGGGAACAGGTAGGGAAGAATTTGAAACCTTTTTGGTAAAAATATTACGAGCTTTACAAACTGAGTAACTCTCTGTTTTCAAAATGTGACCTTTTTTGTAAGTTTTTTTCCCTTCCTTATTTTCCTGTGAAGAGTAATTCCCTAGTTGCTTGCTCATTTCCCCTAAATGTCAGGGGAGAAGACCTTGTTCCAAAGTGCCTGCTTTCTGTGCCTGGGTCTGTTTCATGTGGGTTCTCTGGCACTGCACATGGTAACAGTTGAGAAAGGCATTTGCACTGATTGAGCTACATAGTGTGAGTCTAGAACAACAGCTTACAGGAACACCAAATTTCTCCATGTTATGCATATTTACAGCATATTTAAAAATATTAAAAGATCTTCACAGGAGGAAGAAGAAGAAATTGAGAGTGAGTGATTCTCTTTTTAGGTAGCATAATAAAATGCTATTTAAAAAATAAAAAAATAATAGATTCCTTCTGCAATGTTTAATGTGCCAGCAGCAACCAGTTTAAAGTGACTGGGCATTAGTGTGGATGCAGTGGTTTGCAGTCTACCCACAGTTGCAAGATCAGGAATTTGCATGGGTTATACCAGCTTTTATACCATATACTCTTGCCTTAAGCGTTTCTTTTTAATTGTGTGCAGTGAAGAATGACAAAGAAGCTGAGAGGATGTTTCAAGGTAGAAAATGTTTCATCTGTCTGAACAAAAATTGTTGTCAGTGATGCCTCTTCCCATACATGTAGGAAAACGTACTTGAGGGTTGAGAAGAGTATTCGTAATGTGCAGGGGTACACGTGGCTTTCCTTTCCTTCGGTTCCCAACTGGGTAACCTATGACTGTGTAAGCAGCCTTGGCAGTGAGAGAATAATAAAATCTTGAAAATCTATGATCTGTAGATCTGCCAGTCTTAGCCCCAAAGAGTTGCCATTATCTCAAATGTTTTCTGATGAGTACCTCCGTGCTTGTTTTCAGGGCAGCCAGTCTGAGTTATTAGAATTTTAAATTATTTTTTGCTCCCTCATGTGACTAATGCCTTTTAAAAAATCATTAGAAGGATAACAGTACTTCTGAGATTCTCTCTCCTGTTGTTTGGATCTGTTCATCTTTGGTTTTCTATTTGTCAACTTCATATGATGAGAAATAATCTCCCACCGCTGAGCATTAGCATTTGGTTGTTGGATGCCATTCTTCAAGTAGTTACTCTGAGGCTTTTATTTTTCATTTTCTTCTTTAGATATAAGCAATAACCAAACATAATGGAAGAGATCAGAGTTCTACTATTTGTAACTACAGATTGCACAGGAGGCTTGTCATTACTCTCTTCTCCAGACTCCCGTTCCCTTTCTGTCCTGGAGCTGTTAAAGTGCAGTCTTCCAGTCAGCAACCTTGGAAACTAAATGTTTTCATCTCTGAGTGGCTGTGGCTCTCAAGCTTCCTAAAAAATTATATGTGAAAAGACATCCAAGAGACATACTGGCTATGTAAAAGTGTTTTCTATTCAGAGTATATATAGCAAAATGTTTCATGGGGAGCTGGCCCTGAGTGGTGTAACTGTTCTGACTGAGCATCCTAACAGCCCATGGGAGGGAGTTTTGGGTTTGCTATGGACAGAGTTGAACAGATACATGGTTTGGGAGGTATGTAGTGATTTGAGTTGTCACGTTAAAACCTCTAGTAAGCTCAAATAAACTCAAAACAATCAACTTGACAAGAAAAATTTAATTACTTTGCTAACTTCTGTCAAGGCAGAATTGTTCCCTGCTGTGCCAAAATTATTCTGGCTTTAGGTAGTTGTAATAGCTTATTTTTAAACTGTATTAATGGTACTTAGTTGCAGATCATCTTGATGCTTAAAACTATTTTTGAATCTACTGATCCTTACAGCTTGGTTAAGATCTGAAGTGACTACAGAGCAAGATGAATTATAGAAGACTTGTAGCAGAAGGTGGCAGGAAGGATACTGATGAAGAGGTATTAGGAATAGAACTAGAGAGGGTTAAATCTGAAATGTCTGTAGACGTGGAAGACAATGGCTTTATGCCAGTGAGCCATAGCATAGGAAGCCAAATGCAGAAAACCAAAACAAATAACCGGAAAATACTTCTATCTTAAAAGGTTGTCATGAGCTATAGATAAATCTTAGAAGAGAGTGATGAATCTAGGAACTGTTTTCATTTTATGTTGGCAAGCAAATACGTGGCTAGGGGGGTTGTGTGGTTCCAAGAAGTTCACCTTCTGTGTTGCTGCTTCAAGAAGAGATGAAATGCAAAGTGAAGTGTTTCCATTTTGGTAGTTGTTTTAAAAAGGTGTATCTTCAGGCGTTTGGGATTTTCACATCATGTCCCCACTCCGAGTTCTCTGAATCAGTCACAACAGCAGCGACTGAAGTGGAAGAGCACAGAAGAGGACCTTTTGGTCTCCACCGCAGGCTTACCCTAGAGCAGATACTTCATTCTAGATTATTATCCGCTTACCAAGCAGTGCTTGGGCAGGTGCCTTCACTTTCTCCTTAGTCAGTGAAGGGCTGTTTGGGATGCGAGTGGTTTACCTCACTGGTGATGGTAATAAAGAAGCCTAATTTCACATTATGGGAGCAGTCATCATGTGTGGAATACAAAAATACATTTTAAAATAGACGCCTCTAAACTAGCACAAATATTGGTAGGTGTAACATACTATGCAAGGTGTCTTTTGTATGTGATAAGAAAAGGATAATGAGATCAAATGAAATAAGTAAAACATAGGTACTTTGAGTTAAACCGTGTGATGTTTTTGGGTTTGGTTTTTTTTTTCTTGGCCTTCTAAATTGTTCAGATCCCTGGAAGATTTACTTCATCTTGCAGTGAGATAAAGAGAGATATTTTAACTTTTTTTTTTTTCCTCCTTCTTAAATCTCGTAATCAGTCTTCATCAATGCTTATACTGAGTCCAGAGAAGAGAGATTATAACTGGAGAAGCTGGAACAATTAGCTAACATTTCCCAGAGGTTGACGTGCTTGCTTTTTAGCCTATGCTACAAGGCTCATTTTACTCTTTTGTGGCCTATGCAGCCAGTCGGTTCTGTCAGCATGACACTGGAACAGCAAGGCATGGGAGAGAAGGAGAGGAGGCCTCTTGCGATGCCTGAAGGTGGTGAAAGGGTTTCTTTTTATTGAGAGCTTGCTTTCCTTAATTTTTTTCCATCTTCTGTGTTGGAGGCATAGCTGTTCCCATTTGTTTGAATAAGAGATGACAATTTAGGTGGTACGAGCTAGCAGCATTCAGAGCACTCTGTTGTGACTGGGATAAAGGACCCACAGAATATTCCAGAGACAAGGGAGGAGCTCGCTAAGGTGATGCTAAGCTGAGTACCAAGGAGGAGAGGCAGGTGTTCTCCAGGTACACACACACCTTACCATCAGTGGGCAGAAACTGCATGCTGTGCCTTTTGCTCTCTAGATCTCTTTTGGGAGTAAAATGGACACTGTGGGCTTATTTGCTGTCCGTTTTCTCATTGCTTGTGTGGGGAGAGCGCCTCCAAGCCCTTCTTTATCAGGGTAGATAAGAGGTAAATTTCTAGTGCAAACAAAGGAGCAGGAAGAGTAAATGCAAACAAGAATCCACCTTTCTCTCCTTTCTTTTCTTAAGATTAGGTAATTGTATTTAAGAAAAAAAATACATTATTGCATTAATTCTTTAACATTTTTCTCTCTTACCCAAAATTGCACCAGCATTCATCATTTGCACTTCAATGCCTTTAGTCCTCGCTCCTAATCTTAGGGATACGTCTTGCTGACTCCCGTAATGCCTCTTATCTCTCCAGGCCAAGTTTCTGTGGAGTCACTTTACTTTAAAGATCAAGGATTTTAATGCTCAAATTTTGAAGGAAAAATAAGTAAGGAAAAGATAGCAAATTAAAATATGATTTTTGGTATCTCAGTTATTTTATTTGTCTGTACCAGACATGCTTACTGGTTGGTTTGTTGTAGGGCTATTTCAAAAGCAGAGAGATTTAGCGGAGACAATGTAATCTACAAGCCACCAGGGGTAAGTGTAACTATGTATTTTATTCTGCTTATTGTCATTGTATGTGAATATGATCTAATGAAGACTGTATTCAGTTCATTCAGCATGTTACTGCATCTCAGACCTTAATTTTATTTCCTCACTAAATAGTGTGAGAAATAGGATCGTAGGAATGAGTGTTTTCAAGGCAGTGAAAAAGGCCTTGGTCTCGGTTGTTGCCAGTTAAGTGCACAAAATTTAAATCTGTCATTTTAAACAGAAATGGTTTCTTTGTTTGTTTGTTTTTCTTTTTTTCAGAAACACAGTTAACTCATCCTGTGTATAGGCACTTTATGCTCTGTCTTAAAAAAATCTGTGTTCAACACCTCATGCACTTCATGGTTTTCAAAGCAAGTGACAATTACTACAAATTTCTGTCACTTGGCTGTTTTCTGTCTTAGCCCTCAAGGGCTAAAAGCTGTTCTCTTCATTTAAAAAAAAAAAGGCATTAGTACAATTAACTGTATGTTAACAAACTCTCATAAACAGTTTTACTTGAGGGAGAATTCAGTGCAGAAGAAGATCTGAAAGAATGGTTCTTTAGGAACATGATTAGTATCTGGAAATCTGCTCTTTTCTCAAATTTAATGTATGAAAAGAGTTGCTTACAAAATAGAAATAAATAAAAAATGACAAGGGGAGAGGGAGTTTCAAACCTCTTTCTGCAAATCCAGAATTGATTAGGTTACCTAATTGATACGGTGTTTCTGAATTAAAGTGTGCTTAATCATGGCCACAGCTTGCGAAGTCATGCTTCACTTCATGGTAACCAAAACTGTGTTTATATTAAAAGGTGGCATCACTGAATTCTGAGTTAAAACTGCTAGCAAATAAAGGAAAACTGTTATTTAGCTGTATCTCTTTGGCAAAGCAAATCTAAAATATCAGTTTCAAGTCCTGTAGGACATTAGGAGGGTTTTTTGGGGAATCTTTGTAACTATCGGCATGAAGCAGCTTATTATCTGCATTTATTTTATATCTAAATGGGTTTCTTAACCTAATGGCAGTCTAAATAGCCTTTATTTGAAGCATTTCTAATTTGGAACCAAAGTATCTTTTCAGTTCTTTTAAGTTGTCTTTAAAAATGGAGTTGACTGCATAAATGTTTATGTAAAGTATTTATTTTCCTGTTGTATTTTTTGTAGTGCAGTTAATAGGAATGTTGCATGCACAAGGGTTGACTGTTGGTATAAGATTGGCTTTCAATATTTACATGGGTATTGTTACTTTATGTTGGGTAGGTAACCTTCTCTGTAGGTAGCGGTGTCGTTTTTACTGTTTCTCAACAAGCGTATTTTTCTTTTCAACAGGAAAATGCTCCAGATATGGTGTATTTAGGCTCGCTAACCAATTTTGATTTGATTTATGCATGGACACAAGATAAATGTGTACCACTAGTTCGAGAAATTACATTTGAAAATGGGGAGGTAAGAATTTTTTCTACCATTCCACTTTTGGGGTATCTCTCTCAAAGCCAAAATGTCTCTTTCAAGGTCTCTAATCCACGCTGAAGAGCTTTCTGCATACTTTGGTTTCTACAGAGAATAGCTGCCAGGTTATGTCTCTTCATCCTTTTGGAACTTTTTGGTTAGACCTGAAATTGACTGGAGGCAGAGCTGTGGTGGTTTCGTACACCACCAAAGTAAGAGGTTATAATAACATGTACAGATCACATCAGTAGTGTTGTGTGATTTGCAGGGTGTGGACACTTGGACGCTAGGAATGTGCACAAGAAGGTGTGTGTTTATAAGTATGTGTGGGTCTGTAACACCTTGGATAGGCTGTATTATTCCTCTAAGTACATACTCTTTATGCAGATATTATGAAAAAATTTTGGTTTAAGGTCCAGACATAAATGTTATTTAAGTGCTTTTTGCATCTGTTATGACCTTGAAATAAATGCTTCTAGTCAGGGTAGAAAATATCCATGACAACATGTCCATGACAGTTTGAAAGAGTAAAATAGCTGTGAACTATACGTTGGTTATTTTAAACCAGCTTTTAAAATTTAATGTTAACTGTAGTAGTAGAAAAATGTTACTGTATTAAGCACTTCCAAAGCATTAGCTAATAAATAAGCACACTAAATGATGATTGACCATCTATGGATCTGGCAGTCTTCTGGGAATTGTATTAAAAAACATGTGATATTTTTTGTCGATCTGTTGAAGCACTGGTACCTTCTTAATCTTTTTGTCTTCATATGCTAATTCCCTTGGGTTTATTCTTTTAGCTGTAATTTGTAAGATGGAATTTGGGGGTTTGCTTTTACATACCTTCTTTTTCTTTTCATGACCCTTTTTTTTCAATGCTGTTCTGTTTTCTTTTGTAATTTACTCCTCTTTTTCATCTATATCCAACTCAGTGTATACATTTTTTTGTAGAATAACCAACAACAAAAAAATTCTTTAGAAAATTTGGAAGCTTGTGTTATCTCAAAGGGAGTATTTGTACATAGCCACAGCATCTGCTAGGAGCTCTGATGAGGTTTGTAACACATTGCAGTGTGTTGTCCACACTGGATTAGAAAGCAAGGTATCAGTCCTATGACTTATTCTCAGTTTGCAGACTTAATTTTTTTTACCCTGGATCTGCAGCGTATGCAGTGCTGCTGCTGTGGGCACGCACAGCCCATCGGGTTACGTGACTGAGGGAGGGATAGGGTGGATTCCACAAAACGGTTTAAGTACATACTGGTCAACCCCGCCAACTTTTATGGGAAAGTTCTGTCGCTTAAACAAATTTTAATTCTTCATTTGCAACTCAGTATGTTAAAAGATGCCACATGTTAACTTGTTTAGAAGTGTGTGGTGGATTTTCAGTGTACTTTTCCCATGGTGGAATTGGATTGTGAGCCTCAGAAGCCAAGGTTCATCACTGTCAGCTTGCACCACGCTGTGTTGTGGGTTTTCTGATTGTTCTCTCAACCCTCAATTCCTGTTTACTCAGGCAGATATTTACAATTCCAATGTGCCATTTTGCCTAGCAACATTTCTTTAAAAATTTCAGTGCTGCCAGTACCCAAACAAATTTAAACCTGCCAAAATGGAGATAGTTCTGCCTGCTGAAATTGTGCAATATTTAAATAAGCTCTTAATGCATACTGCACAATATTACAGGATAAAAATACAGAGTGCTGTGACTGTTAAGCTGTGTTTATGGTACTAGAATACTGTAGAAATAAGATAAAGACAAAAATTTCTATCACAGACTTTAAATTCCATTTTAAAATCAGAATTGACCCCTGTAAACTGCTGGTAGGTTTTTTCCTCATTTTCTTTCTTAATGTTTTCATTATCTGGTGTTACAGGCAGGCTAGCTAGGAAGATACCCAATCTGAACAGGGTTCATCATGGTGACCTTAGACAACACATAGTAACTGAACTCTGAACTTGACAAGAAAAGGCTGTTGGGATCAGTAATATCACTCAGAAGAAATCACCATTTAACCTCTATTGTTTAGTTTTATGCTGTGTGAATACAGTGAACCGTGTGGTCTAACGGTGGTGCTGAACTGGAAGTTTTTGAAAGGGTACAACGTTTGAAAAGACACACAGAAGTGATGTGTGGGCAGCTTGGATCTAATGAGAAACTTTTTGATATTCTCAGTGCCAAACGAGATGGTAGCTTTTGAGGGAGCAGTCCAAAGCAAATGAAGCAGCTATGCCACTTGTCACGTCCTGATCGGTACGACATGCTATGAAAGCTGGAATAGAAAAGCAAATAAAGGAAGGTACTTTATAGAAAGCAGTTAAGGCCCAAATTAGCAAGCCAGCTGTCCTAACAACCTGTTAGGAGATGAATTGATCTTGTGAATATAACTCGCTGCATATAAGAGTGTTAACGAAGCAAATACTGAAACTGAGGTTGTTCTTTTAGCTGCTTGCAAGCAAGAGGGGAGCTTAGAGCCGGAATACCAAGCTCTGCTTGGGAGTTCTCCCTGTGGAAATGTAGGGGCTAAAACGAGTGAGGAAACAGAGGCATAATTGTAGTGGTATGGAGCAGACCTTTTCCCATTCTCTAATAGGAGAGGAGGCCAAGACCCAGCTGAATTCATGTGTGGAAAAATAAGAATGAGCTAATGTGATTAGTGGTGGGTTTAGGGATGGATTGGGAAGCTTGGGTTTCATCAAGAGCACTGAATTAAGAGGATCTCTGCAATCTGCTGTTAAAAGACCAAGCTTTAATGGACCTGACAGGCTTGGTTGAAGGGAGAATGGCAGCCGCTGCATGTACACTCTGTAACTGGCTGCCTGCTCATATGGAAAGCATTTCTTCCAACTTACTGCAAATGAAAACGATCAGAAGAAACTGTTCTGTTGGTGGCAGAATGAACGCGTGCTGTCTTTCTAGAAAAGCAGAGATTCTGATACAGGCTAGAATGGAAGAAATAGCATTACTTGCTTGTACACCAGTTGTGCAAATGAAAGATAGGCAAGACTGTGGGCATTTGTTGGATGATTAATGATTATTTCTTCACTTGGGCTCCAGTGAGTTGAGCTGATGTTCAGAGTTGCCTAAAAATCACTTTTGAAGCAAGCAAATACCTGATGTTTGTGTTTTGTTTGGGTTTTGAGTAAAAGAAAAATCCTGAATTCAAGGCATTCCTACATTTGTCTGTCCCTGGACAGAGGTCTTTAAAAGGCCCTCAGGCTTATGCATCTTGATGGGGAACTAAAGCTTACCTGTCCAACAAAGCTTTTCATTTCTTCATTGAGTTTAGTAATACATGAGCCTAGGAATTTAAGAATGGTGTTATACAGGTGACCAGTCAGGACACAATTACTGGGCAAAAGAGTAGTACTTGATTGTAACTGATACAGCTGTGTCATTCGCTTCTGCTTTTTTCTTTTCTTCAGGTTTGGTTTTGGGTTTTTTTTGTTTGTTTTTTTTGGGTTTTTTAGGGTGGAATTATTTACTCATTCATTGTGTTATGCTAAGAGAACACCAACTCATTACATGAACTAAGCTAGGACTAGGTCTGGAATACAGCCTCAGCTTTTTATAGCGGTTAATACCATGCTGGTCAGGCCTTATTGCTGTTTCTATGGAGATGTTGTGTTTTCTCAGAATTGGGCTACTTCTTTTGAGGACATACTCCAGTGCAAGTGTGTCCCTTTCCAACAATGCTAATTATGAAATACCTTCATCCGTTATCTGCTGTATATAATACAGAGGAAGGAAACATGGTTGACTGTATCACTCGGATATCTTAGATGAAGGGTCAGCTGTTAACATCCGGCTGCTTTTAGAGATCTCGCTGAAATTGAAAATTGCTGGAATCACTTATTTCACTTCCATTAAGAAGTGGAAGAAATTAATTTGTCATTTGTTTTCTGTGCAGGAACTGACAGAAGAAGGCCTTCCTTTTCTCATACTTTTCCACATGAAAGATGACTTGGAGAGTTTAGAGAAATTCCAACAGGAGGTTGCACGACAGTTAATAAGTGAAAAAGGTTCGTAGTAACTCGTACTACTTCTTGGTTTTACTGGCATAGTTTTTTTCAGGCATACTCAGAGTATCCATAATCCTGGCTTCAAAGCTCTTGAGCCTGAAGTGCTTTATGTACTTTTGACAGTGAGGACAAACTCCTCTGGAAATAGATACACAGTTTATTAGTATGTAACTATTTCAGAAATCCTTCTTGTCTAAATGACTTCATGCAGTTTGAGAGGGCATTAAACAAAACTTTGGCTTCTGTTGTGGCCAAAAACACTTCCTTTTATTTAAAAAATCCTTTATTTAAATCTGTTTTCAAGTTTTGCATAGTCGTGTCTATCTGGCATTTCCACCTTTGTAATACTTACAGAAGTGTTTAGGGTTTCAGGATAACAAAAAAATCTTAACATGGATTTTTGTCTGCTCCCAATTTTAAGGTACAATAAACTTCCTCCATGCTGACTGTGATAAATTCAGGCACCCACTCCTCCATATTCAGAAGACTCCAGCAGACTGCCCGGTTATTGCCATTGACAGCTTTAGGCACATGTATGTCTTTCCAGACTTCAGTGACTTGTCGTAAGTATTTTTCTTTGTGCATTTTGATTTGAGAAGAGCAAAGGAAAAGACATGTACTCATATTTTAATCAGTACTGTGATAGGATCTGGGGTAGTTAAGACTGCCTATGTATGATTTAATCTTGGGGCCTTAAGGCAACATGAATTGGTGTGAAGTCATTGTTTAAATGGAGTGGCATTGCTTTGTGCAAGAAGAGAATCTCACAGTAAGTTTTTAGATGCTGCTGCTCTTTTAATTCAGAGTTTTGCTATTTTTCGTAGTAATTAGGCATTAAGAGCCTGGCATGGTATTTTTAGTGGTGATCTGGATATATCGATTAACTTTAAAAGGTTTATAATACTACATGGAATGTTTAAGTGCTGTGTTATGCCATGATTACTGCAAAATGCACTGTGTAAGAATTCCCAGCCTGCTGGTTTGGGTTTTCCTGCTGTGCAATTCCAGCCTTCCTGCATTAGTCTAAACCAGGAAAGATTGCAGCAAAATCCTTGTTGTGTGGGTTTCCAAAGTCTTCTACGTGCGGCTTGGAAAATGGCTGGTCATTGGCATGTTATCTCCATAAAGTGTGTGAGAGAGAAGTATCAGGGTGCCTATGCAAAATACCACTTTGATAATCCTCTCTGCATCAGCGTGTGTCTTCACGCTGTACTGCCTTGGAAGGAGATGTGCTGTCTCCCGTGGCTCACTTGAAGAGTGGAAATGGGTGAACATTACCTTCAGGGGCTTTCAGCACCAGACAAGCGTTGTGTCTTTGTCTTCGAGTTTTGTGCTAAACTCGTTTCTGTCTCAGAGGATGTACCTGCACAGATACTGCTGCTTAAGTCCTGGGCATTTTTGCCCATTCATAACTTTTGCCCATTCATACCTTTAAAAACCGAGGGTGTTTAATTTTTGTCAAAGCCAAGGATTCAAAGCTCAGGCTTAGCATGCAGTGTGAATGTAACCTCATGTCTAATTCTGCCATTCCAGCAGACATTTTTCCACCTGAAATGCTGGCATTTGGAAGGAGGGTTCAAACCTTGCTTCTCCCCAGAATTCTCCATAGGCTTATTCTTAAAATGTAGACTCTGTTTTTATGTTTCTCAAATAGTGCTTTTCAGATATCTAAAGCTATGTATGTTGAAACTCTGATAGTGACTGTTTCTCTCCCTGTGTTCCTGTTTCTGTGGAAGATCCATGTTCACTGCACATGCCAGTGATTTAAAAAAAATAGTGGAATATTTGCATTTTGAAAGCACTCATTTGTCACTTTTTGAAAGAGCCCTAAAATAAATTAACATCTCTTATAGGGCTAACAGAGCTGTTTAGTTTAGTCTTTCATGTTATTCTGTTTCTGTGAAACACTTACCCGAATAATAACAGCTACTCGCTTGTTTGTATACCAGTTGTTCCATACAAATGAAGATGAGGGAGAGATGTCAGGATTGTAGACAGTTGCTTAATGATAAATACTTAGTCAACCTTACTCTAAGAGATTGAGCTGATACTTAAAATACCTAACGAACAGTTTGGAAACAAGGAGAGCTTGGAGCTCCTGGGTGATACTCCTTTGTGTGTGTGTGGTTCGGAGTTTTGGTTGGTTTGTTTGTTTGTTTGTGGATTTGTTTTTAGCACTAGGTAAAATCTGAATTTTGAGACTTTCCTCTGCCTGCAAGATTTAGATTCTTTTACAAACTGCCCTGAGACCGTCACTTCTAATCTCAGTGCTGTCGCCAGCCAATAGGGTTTGGATATGATACTTTCGGGACTGGCCCACTAAAAGATTTCCTTTCTCTTTAGAGAGTCGTCTTTTTGGAGAATAGCCACTTTATAGGCAAATGAGACCACCACCCAATATTTTGTCTTCATACTTTGGCCACCTGGCCCTATTCGTCCTGCTGTTCCAGGTCAGAAATGACGGCAAGGAGTGTTCAACAGATCAGCTGTAGCTTTTTGGTGAGAACTGGCTGAGCTACAGAAGACTGTAAGCACCAAATGTCCTTCCTGCATCAGGAGGGAAGAGGTTGAAGGGGAATGGGTCCAGCAGCGTGCCTGAGGTAGAACAGGGCAGGAGCCCAAGCTGAAGCAGGGAGCAGTGATCCTGCTGTCCCTACAACTGGGCTGGAATGAACCCCCTTCTCTCCATCAGTACCAATTCCTGCTCTTACCTGGGGTGTGAAGAGACCCCTCAAAGTACCACAGTAACACAGATCAGTTACAGACGTTGCTGTAGTGATACCTTCTGACTCTTCATCATGCTACATTTTATCCAGAGTTTTCTAAGGATCTGAAGCACAGCTCATAGCCTGTCTGACCACACTTCATCCCTCTTCCCTAAATGTAGTAACTGGTCTGATGAAAGACTCCCTATAAAGCCTGTCTCCATTCATACATTACCTTTTGATGGCATGCATAGGGCTCACGGTATAGTTTTTTGTCGCATCTTTAATACTTATTAGATCAACTCTACATTTTAAGCTTTTTAGTCTATTTGACGTTCCACAAATAAAATAGGATGCTGTAGTTTAGCACATTTGCTGTGGGTGACAGTAGATGATCTCAGATTAGATTTACATTGATATCCTCTTAGTGCTTATCTCTAGTGTATATGCAGTTGCTCAGGCACTGGAGAGCCTTTCAAAGATGTTTTGTCAATAATGCTACCCGACTGTCGTTTGTATCCGTGAACTGTGCATTTGGAACCTGCTGTTTCCTCTTACATTACGGTTGGTGGGGAGCTGAAGCGAGCGTACAATGAAGTTATCGGCTGGTACAGCTCTGTGGGGGTTATTGAAAAGATGAAATACTTGCTGTGTGCTCAAGAGACAGCGAAAAGAAAAAGAAGCTAGTAGGATACCTTCACAAGCCACTTGGCTTCCTGTCCTCTGTTAATCACCTCAAAGTGGATGTAGTGTGCCAGAGGAACAGAAACCGGTTACTCTAAACAGCGCGCTTTCGATCTTCTGTGTTTGGACTGAACTTGTAATAAACATGTGGGTGTTTCTGTTGCGTTTGTTGCAGAGTTCCAGGTAAACTGAAGCAGTTTGTACTAGACTTGCATTCTGGAAAATTGCATAGAGAGTTTCATCACGGCCCTGATCCAACTGATGTAGCACCTGGTCAGGTAAGGTTACAACAAATATATGTAACTTGGCCACTTAATAAAGACCTTTTTTACTCCTTGTCAGACCTGTATTTTCTAGTATGTGTGTACTTCTAACTTCAATTTCCTGAAAGAGAAATCTGTTTATAGAAGCATAACGTTTCCACTTCTTGGCTTTTGCTTTGGGTAAAGATACGGAGAGCATTAGGGGGAAGTGTGGTACATGTTTGCCTTGAATAAGGGAAAAGTGTAAGAATATTTTCTCCTCTGAAACAGAAGATCTTGGGCTAGAGGACTGTTCTGAGATCATAGATCTGCTCTTTATGTTCTCATGGGATTTCAGTGCAAAAACCGATGATACATCACAGATGTGTTATTTCCCACACGACACACTGAGGGGGTGCTTCTAAGGAGAAACATCAGTTGATTGAATGTTTTATGTATTTACAATACATAATTGTCACCAATCCAAGCAGGAGGCAGATTATCAGAGCATCAACAATAGACTGATAAGCAGTAATAGGGTTTATTTGATTAATGCAGTTAACAAGCAGCATGAACAGTGGTCAGAGGTTGCATCTGCCAGTTTGGATTCTTCGCTGTTTGGTGCAGAGGTGGTCATGCTGTGTTTACGTGCCTGGAAGTCACTCCTGGGATCTCTTCAGGAACGCTACTATGAGATCCTTCTCCAAACAGAACACAGGAGCATCTCTGTATTTAGTTTAATCCAAGAGGCAGAAAGAAAGGACATTACCAGCCCAAATTCCCTCTGCTCAGCCCAGTCTTGGTCAGCCTTGTATCTTCTTGATACTGCTCAGCTCATACGCTTGGTGCCCTGCTACAAAGCGCAAATGCAACAGCCTGTCAGGCAACCCTTTCATTACCTCAGGGCCCCTCTAAAGAACTGTTTTAAAACACTTCTTAAGTTATATGTTGTATAGGGCTCAGAGAGCCACATTGGTCCCAGAGGAGACCTGATGCCCTTGTGTTGGGGTGCCTTGGGCCATCCTAGAACCCACGGGTGAGGAACAGAAATGATTTATGGCTACAGGCTTTTTCCTGGTCACCTGTGGGATGTGGTAAGAGTAGCTCTGCACTAAGCTGTGCGAGTGCAACCTCCTGTTACCCTGCTCAAAGTTAAAAGGTTTAAAAGCATGAAAGCCCTGGAGGGCTTGCCTTGGGCCAGGAGAATGACTGACTGCTTTTGAATGTTGTCATGACTGGCCACAAAAACATGAGGGCTGAATTGTCTCAGCTGTAATTCCTTTAACTGGCAACTCCTTGTGTTTCTCAGGAATTCATTGAGAAACCAAAATTCAGGTCAACAGGAGGAGACGCACAAAACAGGGCTGGAGACCGAGGCTTGGCCAGGCTGTCGTCAGCTCGGAGCCGGGCAGACGTGTGTGGGGAAGAGACGCTGTGAGGCAGCTGCGGTCTGGAGGAGGCTTGGCCAGGCAGGGAGGAAGCCTGCGAGGCCCTGGGTCCTGCTGCCCGTCTGGGCACAGCTCCCGGCCTTAGAGCTGCAGGCTCTCGCCTCCATTCTCACACGCAAAACCTGAGATGTTTGCTTTCTTCATCTCCGTGTGGCATCCTGCCATCTTGTGGAAGATGTGGATGCCTATGCGAGGGATGCACTGGCCTTAGCTAAACTGGAGGCTGCTGTCTTAGCTCATGTATGTCCCTTGAATTGCAGGCTTGGTTGGGTTTTGGAGCTTTTTTTTTCAGTTTCCATAGAAAATTAATTCTAAATATTTTGGCAGTGGTGTCACTTTTGCCCTGGTGTATCTCAAAACCAAACACACAAACCAGAATACCTTCAAAGCAAGCGGCAGAGGCTCCAGCAAATCTACAATGGGCTGCATTTGAAATACTTTTAAGTCACTTGTACAGAAACTTGTGTGATGGCCGTTACTTTTGCAATGTGCCAATAAAAAGCATATCCTGAACTGATGGTGCCTCATTAATAAATAGATGTGTGCATGGGTATTCCAGCTGCTTGAGACTTACAATGTGCCTTCCAAAATAAAAAAACCTCCTCCATTTGTGAGAAGGCCGGACACTTGTGCACTCCTGTAATTAATGATGTTTATTTAATGGAGGTGTCTGGTTATGAGAATGAGTCTAACAAGCCATTTTTTTTGCTGTTTGTTCTGTTTTTCAGCCCATTCAGGATTTAGCAAGCAGCCCACCAGAGAGCTCATTCCAGAAGCTGGCCCCCAGTGAACATAGGTACACCTTATTGAGGGAAAAAGATGAACTTTAAAAACTTGAAATAATCTTGCAAGCCTTTCAGACAGCAGCATTGACTTCTGTGTGGTGGAAATAGTAAACCTATATTTTCATAATTCTATGTGTATTTTTATTTTGAATAAACTGAAAAATAATTTTTTCTCCCCAGGCTTGTAAATACATTTGTTTGGTGGGTCATTCTGTACAGCATCTTTCAAACAGTACGTTCCTAATGCTATAGTAAAGTATCAGAGACCCATCCAGACTCTTGATCTAACTCTGTTCTGTAAAACTTTTATAATCCAAATGAAGGTATCCTTGCCAGACATGCTGTTAACTTGCACTATCCCATTAAATAGGACTTTTGGGTTGTTTTCTGTGTAACCTTGGTAGTATGTGCTTTTTCTTCTTCTTCTTCATGTGAACAGCTATCCTGGTAACCTATTTCTTTGTCACATTTTTCTCCAACTTGAGAGGGTCTTCTATTCTGGATACTTGGGAGGGGAATAAATTAAAGTTTTACAGAATCTCGTGTGGTGCTTTACTGGATGTAAATGTCTAAGCAATTAAACAATTCTGACTATTAAAATACCAAGCCAGGAAAGGAAAAGTTTTAATGATAATGGCTGTACTTTGAATGAAAGGCCTGTATTGACGTGCTCTGGTTTCCTGGAATTAAGACTGTGATATTATCCACACAGTTGTGTATGTTGGAAACCCTTCAAAGTAGGGGAGGACTAGGGGCAAACTGCCACCTTAGTGTTGTCAGTCTTAAATTAATCTCTGCTTGTATGTTACAATTAGTCTTTTTCCTTTTTTTCCCTGGGTCCCTGCCTTCCTGGCAGACATTTACTTTCTGAACAACCACTGCAGATTTTCTGTTACTCTCTTTGTCTGGCTTGTGCCTTATTTGTTGCATATTCTTTGAATTTTGCTCTGAAGGAGGAATTATTGCTTTTCTTGTGGACTTTTCTGTTGTGCATAATACCAGAATAGAGGCTTTTCTTGATGAATCTTCAAACTGCTTGGTGAGATAAACTTATAGAAACTGCAAGGTGGAAAAAGTATGTTAATTTGGAGACTAATTAGTACTGGATTGCATAGTATGCTCACTGTAAAGTCTAGGGCCCCCAAGGTTTGGTGTCCTTAGAAGCAAGCTTGTTCTTTGGCTATGTGGACCATTTGGTTCAGGTTTACTTTAGTGAGTGGCCCAGCTTCTGCAGTTCACAGCCCAGGATTCCTGTTGCCTCTCAGCCAAATGCTACCTACTCAGTTATCGACAGAAGCCTGTCAGGGCTTCACCTGAAATGGTGCCTACAAGTACTCATCTTACTCCTCTGAGGTTCCTGTTTTTCCCTGGGATTCTTATTTGGAAGTGTTTATAAGTATTTATTTGGTGGAGGATGTCTAAGCTTCTCTTTCTGGAGAGAGATGCTACCTCATCATACATCCAGCAATGCAGTGGTTGGTGCTTTCAGCTAGGAAATGAGAGAGATCAACCCGCTCTGCCATTTCTTCATCCAAGCTTGCTTTTCTGAGTAAGGACTTGTTTGCAGAGCTCTGGCATCCCAGCACCAGGTAGACAGATGGAACAATTTTCTGATGGTTACACACTCAAGCCATTGCATTGTTATTCACTGGCAGTTGAACAGCTAAAGTCTCAGTATGCCAAACATGGTGTTGAGTATCACCTGAACTTCTGAAGTATCTGTTGAATTAAAAGAATTTGCCCAGAGAGAGCAAGTGCTGGGCAAAATATGTGTTTCAAACTGAGTATTTCAATTCATCTACATCAGTGGTTTTAACCATTTGGTGCTCAGCTGACCACTCCCTTCAGTGCTTCTCAAGGCTCTCATGGGAAGTTGTCAAACATTAGTGTAATCCCCACAGGGTACAAACCATTCCAAATCTGCTTTTAAATTGAACTTGAGTCCATTTCTGAGCTAGCATATGTCTGAGTTACTAGATGCATGCAACATTTTAGGACTTTGGGTTAACTTCAGTCAATGTAAATATATTTCAGTAGCTGAAGCATGTGTTGGGTAACTCAATACAGAATTCTTAAATCTTGGTAATGCAATTATTTTAATAATATGAAATTTGTAAGGGATTAATCTTTTCGATGCTGAACAGAAATAAACCCCCATGTTCTCAGTAAGTGCCACAACCAGTCTAATAGGCAAAAATTTTTATTTGGTCTGAAAGAATGAAGTATATTTTACATTTCTTCTGACTAACACGCCTAGCAATTTAGATGCTAGTTTAGTTACTCAGATGCCCGTGTTTCTTTACATATGTAAATAACTCATCTATTTTTAAAAGTCATAGCTTAAATAATAGTCTCCCAAGTCTAGTGTGTACACAATGTTTTGAAATTGCTTCCTTAAAGACTCAAGGAGGAAGAACAGTTTTTGTGCAAGACATTTCATAAAACAAGTGCATGCCAAGCTGAGTTTGTGTAAGCTGTGGCAGGAATTCGGTTTCATGAACTCGGATTGTCCTGGCGTTACTCCAGCTTGGAGGGGGAGAAGGTGGACTCTGCAGTGGCTCTGATGTGGCTGCTGTCATTTAAATGCATGAGGTTTCGAAACATAAGGTAGGAATGCAGACATTGATTTTTAGAATCGTACGAAGAATCAACCACAGTTGCTGATTAAGAACACTTTTTTTTTCTTAGTTTCTTCCTCTAAATATGGAAATTACCCATCAAAGGAACGAACAGCTTTAGTATGAGGTTGTTACAAGCTCATGTGTTTACATCCCAAGTAGATGCATTTAAAGAAAAGTGCTTTTTGCCTGACAGAAGCAAATAGGCTGAATTACTTGGGTCATGTTTTCCACTCCAGCTGATTTTACAGATGTAGGCACTGTGGCTTTAACACCAGCAGTTTTGACAGTGTTCACAATTATGTGTAAAAACTACTCTTGCACATGCTGCTTCCCTGAGCCTCAGACCTACCTAAAATAGACACGATGCTCTGATAGCAATTTCTATCATATTTCAAAAGTAATAAGGAAGAACTGTTCAGTGTCTCTGGGCACAAAAGCCTATCATCAGCACACAGTTATTTCCAATGATGATATCCAAGTACTAGCTAAGAAAAGGCAGCTCTTTCTATAGTATGCTATAGTATACAGTGTTCCCTGCTGTATCATTAAACACTAACTTCAGTCTTTACCTGATAAAACTGGACTGGAACCATTTAAAAACCTCAATTTCTGTTCTCCCCAAACAGTAGCAGCAATAGTGTGGGAACTGTCCTGGAAGGATGGAGGTAGGACCATGTGCCAAACAGTGGATTATGTGACAAAAGTACGATTATGTGACAGTAAAAACATGTTTACACTCCTGTATTTAACAATTAAAGTTTCAGAAGCAAAAGGCTTCTTAAGCAGCAAAATAAGGATAGCAAGAATAGCAGGCATCTGCTATAAAAAGCTAGCAAAAGCACCAACATCACCTCACCCCATGCAGGCTTCACAGCACATCCCAAAATCTTGAAAAGGCTGAGAAGCTGCTCTACAGTGCGGGTGGAAGGTGATGGTTCAGAACTGACCAGTATGACCTGACCAAGCGTGGTTTACTTCTTGTAAACAGGCTCAGGTTGACAGTTTCAAAACAGTCCCGTGATCTGGGCATGTCAGCCAGCACCATGTAAGGGGGAACTCCCTGGGCCTCACTGCTTCACCACCCTTTGACCCTGGTGCCTAAAGCCACCCCTGAAGGATAATAAAGACAGGCTCAGCTACAGCACTGCCTTCCAGGGAAGCGATTCAGCTCTCCCACCAGAGCGCTGTTGGTGACAGGAGATGAGAAGCAAGGGCAACATCCGGCAGTGGGAGTTGCTGAAGGAAGCTGAGGCTTTGGGCTCAAGAGTGCCAGAGACTGGCGCTTCGTTCTGTGTGGTGTTCTCAGGACAAGCCAAGGGGTTTAACAGCCATGGAAAATTGCCCAGTAGCAGTGCTGCACGGTTGCTGTGTAGACTGATTCATTTTTAACTATGCTTTGAACAAGATAAGGAGTTTACAATTTTTTTTTTTTTAAAAGTACCTGGAAAAGGGGAAAAGCTGCTTATGATGCTGACCTCACTTGGCTGATGGAGGCAGATGTGGGAGATATATATATATATATATATATAAGGTGTATTTTCCACATTGCTCACCCAACATTTTCACCTTTTCCTACAGCAGCCAACACTTCCCTGTGTGTTACTGAACAGGTGTAGTCAGTCATCATGTCCTGGGGGTACACAGAGGAGTCTGGGAATCCAGATACATGAAAATATAGTCCTATGACCATGAAAGCTGGAGGTTATTTCCTTTTCTTCAGAGTTCTATAAGAAAAGCTCCAGCTTCTGGGTGGCGTTCATGGGTTTTTCCAAATACCTCTCTTTGTATTGTCTGCAAGACACTTTGTGCAAATCTGGCATGAAGCACTTGTCACCCATCATTATAGCTGCGCATATACCTCACCCAAGAATTTCAGGGTTAAAAGATAACCGTATGATTCTCAAAGCACAGACTTATCACATCTGAAAAGAGAGATTCTGACATTACCATTTCACCTCTCCCAAGTACCAGTACTGGTGTCAAAATTCACACAACTCAGCCCTGTATTGAAAGCATATGGCTGCAAGTCTGTTGTTAGCACAGCTACTACACTTTTGTTCCTACTCACAATGAATCGCTACTTCAGCTGGATTTTTTGGCACTTTGGCAACAGCTGGTAGAGACCTGCTCAATCATTTTTTGTTTTCTTTTTTGTATCAGTTTTCCACCTGTGAAACCCAAAATCCCACCACCAAGTGCAGCTGCAATTCCTGCCACTTTGAAGCCTGCGAGGAGACCAATAGGACCCCCCACCACTCCACCAATGACTGCACCTGCCACAGGCAGAGCTGCCAGCTTGTATTTTGCAGCCTGTAAAGGGAAAAAAAAAAAGAGTTAGCATACTTGCCTGTGGTGATGTGCGTTTTCCCCTCATTGCTCTTGGCAATGACTTGAATGCTCAGTGATAAGTAAACTTTACAAATTAGTATTTAAAAGAGATGATCTGCTATCCCACATGTATGTCAGAATGTACTGAAAACAATTCAAAATTGAGCTGTCTGATGTATGCAGTTGTGAGCCAGGTCCTTTTACATGCTACTGCCTGATTAGGTACGCTTTTTATTACGTTGTCTCCATCATTAAACCAAATGAAAAACTGAGCAAATGCTCAGACTTTGCAGTAACATGCCCAAATCCAGGTGTGTGGCCTATTAGGAACTGACATCTGCAGTGAATGGGACTGAAATTGCATGTTTTACGCTTATTTCATTCTTGTGAGCCAATCCCTGAATGCTCTTGTCTTTGCAGGTAAACAAACGTAGCATCAGAATAGCATAACCCCCCCCAAAAAAACCCCTGTATTTCCTAGTAGCCTGGATGTGATAGAAAATTACAAGAGAGATTGATTTTTTTCTTTTCCCTGCTACCTGTGGGTCATTTCTTCCTTATTTCCTTAATTGCTGGCTCCCTCAGCATTAAAGACGGCAGATCAATTGGGTTAATACAGAGGGCTGCTGGGAGGCAGAGTACCATTGATTCACCAGCGGGAGCAGATCCCTACCTTCCCCAAGTTTTTGGTTCCCTCTTCAACATTCACAGCGGCGCTGCTGACATGGTCTTCAATCCTGTCAATCTTCTCCTGCTGTGCCTAGATGCAAAGGAATTATGAGTGAGGTAACCTGCTGGGAAGCAGCAGTGAGCCAATACACACAATTTTAATGCCTGTAATCAGGGCCCCAGAGCCGCTTTCATCTGCTGCACACTGCAGCCGTGCAGCCGTAGTGGTGCTTCATTAATGGCAGCTGATAAACTCTGCTGAAACTACAAACTTACTTTACAAAAATACCCTTATCTATTAAGCAATAATATGGTGTGGGTATGATACAATGTGTCACTGCAGTCAGCAAAAACAACCCAAAACACACAATTTCTAAATCTTTGCTGTGAATGGATGAACTCGCGTTCCAAAAATAATCCAAACTGGCCCTTTTGTTTCCTGCT